ATTGTGTAATTTCTGTTTCCTGTTTTTTCACAAAGCTCAGCCTCATCCCAGACCTCTATTTCCTTCAAAAATTAATTCTACTTTTATAAAGAAGATTTTGAGACAAGGTCTTGCTTTGTCATCCAGGCTGGAGTGCCATGGTGCAAACACAGTTCACTGCAGCCTAGACCTCCAGGGCTCGGGTGATCCTCCCTCTTCAGCCGCCCATGTAGATGGGCCCACAGGCTTGCATTACCATGCCCAGCTTAATATTCTTTTTTTTTTTCATTTTTTTGTAGAGACAGGGTCTCACTTTGTTGCCCTGGCTGGTCGCGAACTCCTGGGCTCAAGCAATCCTTCTGCTTTGGCCTCCCAAATTGCAGGGATTACAGGCATGAGCCACCACACCAGGCTAATCCTCCTTCTTGACTTAAGTCGGGTCAATGGGCAACTGTTGCTTATAACAAATGAATTCTTAAAAAGTTCTCAAAAATTCTAAAATTCTTGGCATCCCCATTTTCTCTCCTCCTATGTACTAGCCCTTTAAATTTCGATGTTATCCTCCAACAAGCTTTCATATCTACCGAAATCCTCCAGGTCACTGGCTCCAGTGGGCAATTCTCAGCCTAGGTTTGGATTCCTATTGATCACCTCTCCCTTTGGCTTACAACCATTCTCCAGACGATGACAAAATCCTTGCCAGGGTCCTGTGCAGTGTGGCCCCTGCCAATGTTCCCGCTCTCAGTACTTGCCATGCTCCCCCTGCTCTCCCTGCACTGGCCCCGTCGACCCTGTCTCTCTCTCTCCCTCGTGATTGAGATGCGGCCTCCTGCCACAGGACACACACATGTGCTGCTCCCACTCCCTGGACATTCCTTGCTCCTGACTCATTGGTCACTTTTCCGGCAAGTCTTCTCTGGTAACCTCTTCCCGACCCGGGACTCAAAGCTCTCTTTAGATTCTGCTGGGGCAGCAAGTACCTCACCTTTACTGCTCTTGTCATAGGTGACGCTTTGTAATTGTGTCATTCTGTAACTACTCATCTATTCCCTACATTATAGCAGAAATTTGGGGAGGCGTTAGGTGTTTGGCTAGAATGCAGAGCCACATAAGGCCATATAGTGTCCACATTTCCTCCACACGGACATCTGGCATTGAGCCAAACAATGACCTCTGCACACCTCTTGTTTTTACCTTCACTTTTCACCTAGTTTTGTTGTGTGAACAAATGAATCAACCAGTGAATTCTCCAGGAACCAACCCTGGTGATCAGGCGCTCAGTGTGGAATTGCTCCAGGCCGACAGCCCACAAGTGGGTCCACAGGACTCAGACCCTGAGAGACACAAGACACCATCACTGCCCAACATGGCACCAGGCCCTGGCACATAGGAGGAGTGTGGGCACTGACAGGGCACTGTACTGCCTGCTGGGCCATGAGCTGGAGCCCCAGCTCTGCCCTGATCACCTGCTGCCCTTGGCAAATCCCTTCCAAACCCTGTGTCGGTTTCCCCGGCTATGAAACTGGGATGCTGATCAAGGTGTCTCCTCGCCCTTCCTGCTCAGCCATTGGTGTCTCAGTGATTGTAGGAGAACATTAGCTAGAACCCACCACAAGAGAGACCCCTGAGGATTCAGGAGCACAGAGCCAAGGGGGTGGGGGTATCCAGCAGGAGACCTACCTCAGCCAAGGGCTTGACATCACCTTTCTTCACTAGAATAGCAGTGAGAGCCACGCCACTCTCAGAAATGGCCCGGTGGAAGAGGTTCTTTGCCAGTGGAGACAAAACCTGAGAGCAGAGTAGAGGGGAGGAGAGTCCATGCTCAGGGGTACGGTCAGCGACTTGCTCGCTCTCCCAGGCTACATCAAACCACACTATAAAACCGACACAGGATTGAAGACTCCAGCAGTGGGCTGACCCTCTGCCCACCTCGAGGCAGGCGGAAGGCTTCCTACAGCTCCTGGCACCTCTCATCTGGTTTTTCATCCCAGTTTCTCCAGTATCTCCTGCACCTAATACCCCACCCCAGCAGGACCCCTCACACACCCAGGTTGCGTCTGTGTCCCACAACCCCTGCCCCATCCCTCCCCATCCCTGGCTCCATCCCTCCTTCCTCTAGCCCGCCTCCCCTAGCCCACCCGGCCCCACAGTCGCAGAGACTGTTGCCTCCTTCTTGGGCATGGACCAGCCATCAGACCACCCCAGAGGAATCCCC